TGAAAATCAACTTTCAATGTCCTGGGTTTTATCTGAGCTTAAAAAAAACATTAATTTATCTATGCACTGTGTCCCTTCAGGATATGGGCGATCATGTCTCACCACAACATCCTATCCCTTGTGTAGGTGGGCCCCCCTGCCTTCCACTATGCCTTAGATACATTATGTGTGTGTCAAATTCTCCAAGCCCTCTTTCCTAATTAAGTGTCCAAGAATTTTTTTATTGTAAGCAGAAATTCTTAATATCAAAACTTTCTTGGATACATAATGAGGAAAAAAGGTCTTTGAGAATTTGACACAGGATACATCTAAGGCAAAAGGGGGGGACAGGCAGTAAGGCAACGACCTGGTAAATAAAAATTATAAATCTTCATAAATCTTTACGTTTCCCTTAAAACATCTTTATTGCTTACATGCTCTGTCCATGGTATTCTCAGTATCCTTCTGTAGAATCACTTCTCACTCCATCAAGCAGAGGATTAATACAGGTAGGAAACAGATAAAGATTCGTTTTTATTCAGACTCACTAAGCTTAGTATAGCAAATACAGACTTCAGTAGATCCATGTAGCAAGCAGGTGGGGAGCCTATCCATCTTGGAAATCAAAACACTCATACCTGAATGTTTTCTTTTTTTTTTTTTACTTAGACTTACATTGCAATTACTGCTATCAGTGAGAATCTATATCTTTCTTAATCACATAAAAAGCCAGTGAATATCAATAAGACAGATGCCAAACTCACACTACTAAGTTAGTTACTTTCACAATATGAGTGAAGGTAAAAAGGAAAAAAATGCATATTTTTCTCCCAAGGGAATATAGAGTAGAATAACATCTAAGGAAATGAATAAACTTCAGGGAAAGTTTTGATTGTTTATCTGAGTAGGGGAGGAATGTGGCAAGAGGGGGTGATTGTCCTTGGAGTGTCCTTTACTAGTTACAGTTAAGCAGTCAGTGGGAGGTGTGTGGAAGTAGATGACTGGGCAGCAGTTGCGAAGAAGTGATATCAAAGAAAACATGGCTTGAAAATATGGTTGCCTACAAATCCTGACACACCTGAGTACACAAAAGACATGAGATTTAATTAATACATGCTGGCTGTGAGAGAGAAAAGGTAAACACACATGATTGCCAGAAATACATACAGGCCTGAAAATTAAAGAAACTTCTGTAGAGTGCTACACATACAGAGGTTTGGAGAAAATATCTTAAATACAGTGCTTCTCAGGGTCCAAGGACACATTCCATTCCTCGGGATCACAGGTTTCCTCAACTTTTTTTTTTTTTAAATTGTCACCTAGTAATGTTTTTTTTTTCACTATTAAGCTTTACAGATAATTATATTTTGTTTCAATGAAGTTCATAAAACTCTGGGAAATAGATGTTTCTTAACAGGATGTACCAAACCTTATTCAAACTTCAGTAACTGAATAGCCCCAAATAGTTTGAAGCAGTAGATATTATAGGAAACGGTTCATTCAGGATTTCTCCATTAAAACAGCCTACAGTTCATTTGGGATTTCCTGTTACAATAAGGAATGGTTCATTTGAAATCTTCTATTACAATAGTTAATTTGGGATTTTCTACTAAAATAGTGAGTGGTTCATTTGGGATTCTCATGTACTGCATCTATAGCAACAGAGTTGTGTCTAAAGCTAGATAGTGTCCTTCACTATTCAGGCTGATTTTGAATTCAGAATTGTGCTAGACTGGTTGACAGCTCAAGACAAGAGACCAGTCAGCCATGTTATTTCACCCATAGCTAGGGGGAGAAGATAAGGAATCCTACCTGTCCCAAAGGTACTTTTTGTGAATGCAACTAAATTGGCTGGAATTCTTCTATTTTATCAATTTTATTTGTTCATTTAATATCTCATGTATGTCTTTGTAGGGGGTGGACTCTTAATTCCATTTCTATAACCTCTTTTCTCAGACATTGCATCACAATCCTAATGCTACTCCCATGACAAATATCCAGATGAGTGCTCCATTCTTTTGTTTCACCAGTTCAGACCTTGTACAGCTAGGACATGCCCAGTGTCATTTCCTCCATATTTCAAATCGAAGGAGAAGATTTCACTCAGTAGCAATCCCCCACCCCCCAAAGAACCACTACTTTGTAGAAAGGACACTTCCTGCAAGAATGCTTCCCTGAATATTATAAACTTAAAACCTTTTCAATTGTTATCTATCCTCCTTATCTTCATGCTTTTCATTTCCAAACATCCTCTTTCATTCAGATAACATTTCATTCTTTATTATCATTTTAACAATAACACTACTTTGAGTGGCTCTCGAACCTTGCATTGGGTAGGATTTAGTATAAACAATAATATTTCTCTTATTAGATGATCGACTTAAAAGTGAATTTTGCCTGCCAAGTTTCGAGATCAGTTGATACAAAGGAATGCTTTTAAGTTCTTGGTCTGACCTATACTCAGAATGACAAGACTATTCTGGAAACCTTTCTTGGTTGGATGAGAGAAATTAAATGCTATATCAGATTTCATGTAAAGGGTATTTTAACTAAGTAGGCTTCAAAATTTGAGATATATATATAAAATTTTGAAGCCTACTTAGTATATACTATGTATGTATGTATGTGTGAAGAAATAGAGTCTTAAGGTATGCTATATTTATGGGTAAAAGTGCTCAATATCAGTAATAGATCGTATGTAAATTTAAAAGTGGACACTGATGTCAACACTAAGTCACTTGGTATTGACCTTTAAATACACATTCATATTTCATATTCAAAACTAATAATTCTTTAAGCAATACACACACTATATATATATATATATATATATATATATATATATATATATATATATATATATATATACACACACAGTGTGCAGTCAAATATCTCTCACATAATGGTGTCTTCATCTCTAATGTCGTACCATTATGTGGGATGTATATGTTGCAAGTTTTTGGGACTTACCCTGTGTCTATACATCGAATTTTTCTTTTTTATTAACTACTTTGGATTGTAACCAGGTTGGTTAATTTTTTGCACAAGAATTAACCGCCAAGTTGCTTAAATTGTCTCTGCTTTGGTATAATAAATAAAATAGATATTTTAATGCAACTAATAGAATAGGTAAAATAAAAAAAAAAAAAATCTTTTCCTGGTTGCTATCTTTTCACATTAAAAATGATTTTCTTTATTTTAATATCAATAAAATAAATCCTGATTAAAAATTTGAATAAATGTGTCTAGGCTATAAATAATTCTTTAAAAAGGTTAAAACTTATTTCATTTGTCTCACAGACCATTAATACATTTTATTTTTGTCTAAACAACTGAGGATTTAGACTTGTAATCTGGTTACTTAATTTTGATACAAGAATTTGTACTCAAATTGTTTAAATGGTTGCTGAAATGGTTTATACTTTCATCTAATAAATAAGACATTTTAAACTGATAGAATTGGTAGAATTCTTGAATATAAAACACAAAAGTATAAAATATGACATTTAATAACTTACAAGTTTTTATCAATGAAAAAAATTTTTTTTTTTTTCTTCTAAGCCTCTTGATTCCTTAGGGAACATCGGGCCGCAACAACACATCTACAACAGACATGGTTCCAGGTGATCTTCTTTAGCTTGGCCCATGTTGTGCCAGCTGCCTTCACCTCTGTGTCAACACTTTTATGCCAAGTCTGTTTAATTCTTATTTTTGGATTGTAAGAATATTTTTTAAGTCAACATAAAGAAAGATACGTTTTTAAAGGATCTAAGAAAATTCAAATTTTAAAAATGCTTTTTAGTTTACACCTATTTCCATTCATAGACTTTTAAGATTGCAACAAGCATATTTAAAAAATCTTAGTCCTAGGTCTCTCTCTTTTTAAAATATGATAAAATTTAAGATATTTTTCATCGTTTAAATTTCATCTCACACACCAATATTATTTTTTAATAAAATAAGGAAATGAATATGAAAATATCTAGAAATAACTGCAAAGATTAAAAAAGAAAATTCTTTGATGATCTTGTGCTGGACATGTTCAGTTCAAGACTTTTGGTTGCATCTCAATTCCACAGACTGGATTCTTTTTTGAAACTTGGTAGTGAATCACTATTCAGAGAAAGCCAAGGAAAATGAATGAATTTGGCTTTGAATTTGTCTTGGTAATGGATTTTTGTAAAGAAATTTAAAACGGTTTAAAATAGGAAAATTAAATAAAATTAAAAATATCCTGGAAATAATTGAGAATTTTTATGAATAAATTTTTTTTTATCTGATATTTTATTTCTCAAATGCTAGAAATACTATAAATACTATTTTTAGTGGGTACAGATATTTATTTTTAGTGGGTACAGAGTTGCTATCGTAATCTTTTATCTTTCATCTTTCCTTTACTAGAGCTTCTCATTCGGGGCCAGTTTTTATGAATACCCACTGAAAATAACTTTTATAAAATAGAATTTTTATGTTTACCCCATGAAAATACTGCAGCTTCTCAACCACAAAATTGTTGTGTAAATTTCATTCACCTCAGACACGCAAACAAATGAATGGGTTTTATTACAGAATAGATTTAAATGAACATTAGTATTAATTACATAAAATGCACAAGCTCCTTTCTATAAAGCACATTCATGAGCAAATCCTTCAAGTCAACACTTCATGTTAAATGAAGATTTAACATTTTAAATTAATTTAACAGGAAATTCAAATTCTAAGTCTTATCTGGAGTATTAATGCATCGATTTGTGCTTGATTGTTTTTTGGTTTTTTTTTTTTTTTTTACAGCTTATGAAACTTTTGCAGATTATTTAGAGCCAAAAAATATTTTTAGATTATAAGAATTTTTTGTAGAGATAACAAGGATTTACTGATAGAAATCCTACTAATTAACTTATATCTCAGGGGAGAAGAGGTGAAGCATGTAAATGAATATAACAAACTCAGTGGGAATTCAAACTTGGCTTTATGATTAACAATTCTGAAACATTATCCATAGCACCACCTGCACATCCAAGCTTACAGCACCTGGTATTCCCAGGCAGTCACCTATCTCGGTACTGACCAAGCTCAATGTTGCTTAACTTCGGTGATTGTACAAGAACCGAGCATTTCAACATGATATGGCCATAAGTGCTGGTTTGTGAATTTGGTGGTATAGTAATTGTGAGTTCAATCTCAAGTACAAAATTTAGACTCAAAAACCTAACAATAACTGAGCAGTCCTAAAATACTGATTGATTGCTTTTTTTTTTTTTTTTTTTTACAGCTTTGCATATTTTGGATTGTAAGAATTTTTTTTTTTTTTTTTAATGAGTAATGCATTAATAATTTCTTTTGAGAATAATGATTTTCCAGATACAAGTTCTATTTAACCCATAGTTGAGGTAGAAGATGGATTCATACCTTTCCAAAGAACATTTGCATGTCAGCAAATATAATAAGCTTGACTGGAATTTGAACTCAGCTCTGCTTTCTCATTCCATGCCGCTATCCATTACACACCCTTCACATCCCATTAAAAAGAGAACCAGATGAAATATCCCTAGTCATGGACAATGGGAGAACAACCTAACCACGTAAATTGAATAAAGTATTCAGTAGAAAATGCTTACTGGAACTTCATCCAGGTTTCCTCTGTGGCCCAGTTCAAAAATAATTTCTTATGCATTTAATATAAATTTATGAAATTCTTATATTAGAGGGTTGTAGTGATATGAAAATGACTGCCTAATTAGCATAGCTAAGGCATAGAGATTATATAAGTGCCCAAGCAGTAAGGGGAGGGCGCAGAATATGATAAGTGAAATTAAATACTGCTGGACAAAGAAAATACAAAGGAAATCACATTTCATAACAAGGTTAAAATTCAATCTTATATGATAATGAACAATGGAATCTCAATTACCTACTTTTTCCAATGACTTTTAATCATTTTGTATGACAAAGGCACAAAGTAACTATGCACAAAATATAATTTGATTATTTTTGTAAAAGAATAAGTACATAAAATATTAAAATAACAAAACAGATCCAACAGATTAGAGACATGAAATGAAAATTCAAGAGTTACTGATCGGCCATGTTTCAATGTAAGGGAGACAATTCAGTAAACTCTGTATAGCTAATGAATTTATTTTGCAAGAAATTGGATACACAACTAAACCGTCGATTTTACATACCAATAGGGAGTTCGTAACAAAATGTAGTTAATCTGAATATAACGAGGTGACTTGTTTTTAACAGTTTATCTCAGATAATACTGTATAATTTGAAATTATTAAATTCTAATAAAATAAAAAAACACATTTACAAAGCTTTTTGCTACTGATCCCCAATTTTTTATTACTATCATGAAGACTTATGTCCTTAGGGAAAAAAATTATTGTATCTGTAACTGAAAAATTTTTTTCCATTAATTTAAAATGTAAGAAAAAAAAACATGTAAGAAAGAAAAAAAAAAAAATTTTTTTTTCATTGATTAAAAATTTAAAAAATTTTTTTTTATTTATGTAATAAAAATAAAAAAGCAGCACCCCAATTTTTTTTTTTTAATATTTAACATGGCCTAGCACAAATCTTAGCTTGATAATACATTATTAAAATCCTAAATCCATTCAAAGTCTCTGTCGTAATGTAAATATTAGGTTTTATAGATGTAATGGTAAAAAAAGGAGATGAAGTCATGATTTTATTTAAAAATGTAGTCTGACTGAAAGTAAACTTCTTAAATTAAAATGAAACAATCCTACATCCCGGTCGTCTACATTAATGATTTAGACTAAACAAGAGCAATACCTAAGAGTGACCCAATTTGCTTCTGATTACTTATTCCATTGTTAACAAATAAGCAGCAGGAACAATAGTCTAAAGTTACATTATTAATTGTAAAATGAAGATGAAAGAAATAATAGTTAAGAATTTATTATATAAAGATTAACATTTCTTTCATCTTCATTTTAATTGCTTTATTTACACTTCTAGTAATATTATCTTTAATTGTTATGAGATGAAGCATTAACAACCATTATTCATTTTAGACTAATATTTCTTTCATTTTAAATGCTTTATTTACACTTCTAGTAATATGAGCCTGAATTTCATTGGCAGCCATTATGAAGGAAACCTCCAGCAATACTGGATTTGAGAAACTTATTTTCCTGAAAAAAATTATTTTAAGAGAAAGATTTGATGAATTTTCAAATGTGAATAGCATATTTCATTTTGAATTTGGATAAACCCAAGGCTGTTAGGATTATTGCTACTATGAAATAGAAAACAATAGTAAACAAAGCAGAGAAACAAAGGAGCAATCTTACATTATTTACATTTGGACTAATATCCTCATCTTTGTAGTTATGATCATAACATTTTAGCTGTCATACTCTTCAACCATCTTGGGGTGGCTGTCAATCCAAGTAAATTTCTAGCAATTTTAAACAACAATTTAATCTCCAAGTATAGATTGTTCTCATTCTGCTGTCTATGTATAGGGGAGATAACTCCTGTTTTTTTTTTCAAATACTGCTCACTTATTGCTGGTCTCATTCATATACTAAGTCTGTACAACCTGGATTAGAGATTGAAATTGCAATTATAATGACACTAAATTCACAAGTCGATGCTTTAATCCCAACAAGACAAGAACCCAAGACATGTTCAGTCAAACAAAAACAAATAAATGATTCCCAAATTTTTTTTTTTGCATCATCACCCACTTTCACATGAAAAAATTTTCCATTGTCCATCTGCTTAGTAAATATTCAAAAGCATGCCAAAATTATTTGATAAAAGTTTATTAATGGTTCTAAAACTGACTTTATGATATAAAGAAATACCAAAAGGAGTTGACAAATAATGCTGACTTATGATTGCTACTTCGGTCAGTTATATGCCATGTGTGACAATCATGTATCTTTTGAAATACAACTGATAAGGTAATTTTTTTTCCCTGCGGTAGGTTCCCATTTCTTTCTTCTGTAGACCAGTTGCCATCCAAGGCTATAGAACCCAGTCTGTTCTGCTATTTATCCATAGCTGGGGGAGAAGAAGAGGATTCATACCTTTCCCAAGGATATTAGCACGTAAGTGAATGTAATGGATTTGACTGGAATTTGAACTTGGCTCTCTGATTCCTCAATCTGAGCTGCTATCCATTACTCCACCGTACTATCATATTAAAAAACCAAATGAAAGCAAAACAAACTTGACAACTGAAAACTATAGTTTTATGGTTAATGTTGCAAATGTTAGTAAATTCAACTATTTTTTTTTTTCATAATAATGAAATTAAAAAGAAAATACACTACTAGCAATGAATAAAAAATCAGCAAATATTTTTCCTTGTTCTTGGTCTTCCCTTATCTGATTTATATCTGAAATTCAAAATGTTATTTTGTTTGAAGAACCATTTGAATGTCAATGATCAATTTCAAAACTATAGAAAATACCAAAATATTTATTTGCAGGGATATCTATATCTTATCAAGAAGTGAGAACCATTTGTTCCTTCTGCTTATATATATATATATATATATATATATATATATATATATATATATATATATATGTGTGTGTGTATATATTTAGGCATCATTTAGTGCCCTTTGGGAGATTGTATCTCCAATGGATTAAATAATATTTATGTTGGTCACACCACAAATTCACTTTCACAACGCTTGACTCTACATTTGAATGATAACTAACATTTTTAGTCATTTAAAACAACATGCCTGGCTGCATACACAATTCCGGAAAATCCTCATTGAAAACACAACTATACTTAAACATGAAAACAATAAATAAAAACTAAAAATTCTTGAAGCTATATACATAAAGCAGTTGAAACCTAACCTGAACAAAATAAACTGAAATCTCTCCAAATATTTTTAAATGCCTATAATTGATAATAGAAGCCATTGGTTTATACCAACAGCTTCCCATACTTAATACTTCTCGTTTTCACTCTCATGTGGTCATGTTTGTCATTGCTTGGAAATCTTCCATGTAAACTAAAACAGACTATCATTATTGTTTTGTCTGTGTATTGTTTAATATATTGTAATGTAATTGTCATTTTTGATAATGGCTTATGTAAGCTGTAAGCTTAGATAGGATTAAAAAAGTATGTATCAATATGGTGTTTTTCTTTCATCTTTTAATGATAATGTTATTAAGTTTATCATAAAATAAATAGACAAAACTTGTCTATATTATTTAATGAAACATCATATATATATATATATATATATATATATATATATATATATATATATATATTCTTTGCATATCTTTTTTGAATATTTTTTTTTTCAGGTAGCATATGTTGAATATCATTTTACTTCTCAAAATCATATTGCCCACTAAAATTTCCAAGCTTGCACTATTTTCTGTTTAGTTGATTATTGCCCACCCAACAGTTAAAAATACCCACTGGTGGCGGTATCACCCAGTTTGGGTTTCAGTTTAAAAATCTCCTGAAGGTTAACTGGATTGTCTGATACCTGAAGAAGATTGGAGAGTATAAAGGCTGAAATGGTGTGATAATAAGAAGGATGAAGACATTAATCCGATTGTAAATGAGGATAACACTGAAGTAATCCCTGGAATAGACATTGTCAGGCCAACAGATAGTAGTTTGACTGGCATTTGTTGTGGCATTCTGCTTTTATAGCAATATCTCATTTACATAGAATACTACACTTTCTTGAACCAAAATGGCCTTATGCACTTTGTTGATCTTCGATTTCTAATTATTCTTTGGAATCTAAAAACTGTCTTTCTTGGTGTGTACCTTGATTTTTTCATATAGAGGACCTAGGTCTGAGTTCATTTTCTGATCCAGACTCTTCGATAGATTTCTGATCACTATCATTCATAGTTTATTCAGTTTCACTACTGGATTCATTAGTCCTCTCGTTACCTTCATGTTTTTCACCTTCAGATTCTTCGTCCGCTCTTGGATCCTCTGGTTCCATTCTGCTTCTGAATTGATCTGCATGGGCCAGAACATTTTGTTCGTATTGCTGTGTTGTGTACTACAAACTCTGCTTTCTCTGGATTAGATTGTCTTTTTTATGCAATACACTTTCACTTGTTGAAAATGACATTGTTATGGGAGCTCTAATCTGTC